CGCTCAGGCGGAGGTGGCAGGGGCTCGTAGCACTTCGAAGGGAGCTGCTACTTTAGCACACATGAGGAGAGATCCACGTCGAGGAAGCGTGGATACAAAGGGATGGAGCCTCGAGCACAAGAGGACCGACCAATCTGCTGCATGTCCGAACGCATGCTCTCGACCCTATCCTCGCCAGACGCGCGCGCTACAGCCTGCTGAGACTCACCTCTGCGCGGCATCTACTGATGATCGCACCCCTCTTGCTTCTCCAGGTCGCCTTCATCAAGCAAGAAGCGATGGAAAAAGCTCGAGAAATCCAAGTGAAAGCTGACGAGGAGTTCGCGATCGAGAAGGTGAGCAAGGTGATCCAAAGATGTCCCATTCAAACATTTCAAGCTGATCAGCCGCGAACATCTTCTGCGACCGCCTCAGGCAAAGATTGTGCGCCAGGAAGCAATCTCAATCGAGTCTACGTACGAAAAGAAGGCTAAGCAAGCTCAAACTGCTCAGAAAATGTACGTAATGGTGCGGTTAGAGCGGGCAGCGAGAGGGAGGGGAGCGGTTTAATGGAAGAAGGGATGGAGAAGATGAAATGCCGAGCCGATCGCCCAGGAGGATGCGACGAGAAGCAGCGTGACATCTAAGCGTCCGAGCACTTGGCTGTGCATGAGCCTGTGTGGACGTGCCACTGCGCAAACTCGCTGCTGTCAGATTGCCGAACGTGGCCGCGCCGGAAGTATGTTCAGTCTGGCTGATGGCGCTCCTCACCTGGCATTGTTCGATCTTCTTAAAGTGCCCAATCCACATCGACGAACCAGTCCCGCTTGAAGATTCTGCAATCCAAAGAAGCGCACCTTCAAGAGCTGTTCGACGAGGCTCGGGGCAGATTGGTGGAGCTGTCCAGAGATCAAGAGAAGTATTCCAAACTTTTGCAAAATCTCATCTTGCAGGGTCTGCTGCAACTGGTGGAGCCAAAAGTATCCATCACTGCTAGGTCTACGGACGTGCAGATTGTTCAGCAGGCCGCTAAGCAGGCGGAGAAGCTTTACCAGGAGAAGACTGGCAAGAGCATACAAACCAAGGTGGAGGAGGGTTTGTCAAAGGACAGGTGAGTTCAGCTGCTTTGCGCGAAGGTTGTTGATTCCTAGCTCATGCTTAGCATGACTTCTGGATATGTTCCGACGTAGCTCGGGCGGTATCGTGCTTGCCGGCCACGAGGGACGTATCAAGATCAACAACACCCTTGA